ACCCTCTGGTCCGGTCATAGCTCGTTGGACCCTCCGGCCCGGTCTGTATTCTTGGGCCCTCCGGCCCGGTCTATAAAATCATACAACATACATATATCACATAGCACATAATCTCATACATAACACATAAGACCCTCTGATAAACACATAATACCAATCTAGGTATCGAATAGTGAGAAGACTCACCTCGTGTAGCTCGGTAACTCGTAAAACTCAGAAATCTCAGACTCTGTGGGATAAGATCTAGCCTCCGCCTAATCATATGAAATAACACTCAACATCAACACATTTCCCTAGGCTAGACCATTCCCTCTAATCACTCTCAGGAAGGTAAACGACCATTTTACCCCTTACTTGGCTCAATTACACTAAAGTTGACCAAACCCTAAAAGTCAACAAAAGTCAACCTTCTGGGTTACGCTGCGCGTACCAAACGTGTATGCTAGGCGTACCCGGAGCCTTCACTGAATTGGGGTACGCAGCCCCTTACGCCGCGCGTACTGGGATTACGCCCAGCGTAATGCCCAGTTTCCTTAACCATCTCCTTCAGGTCTTAATCGGTTAAGACTTGCATCCAAACTTCAGATCTGACTCCCCTAATGTGCCTTAATCCATAAAGTTGAAACCTTTAAGCCTTTGCATGGCTGTAAAGGTCACTTTGGGCTCAAAACACCTTTCCTTTTTCCATAATGAGACTATAACTCATGCATGACACAAGATCCACATCCAAGACTGGATTTTTATGAATCCTCAACACAATATACACTAGAAAATGTCAGATCTAAGCTCATGGAGACTCTTTGCACATAAAGTCTCCTACTTTGAACCAAAAACACTAAAAATGGCCCAAAAAGCAAAACATATGAAGAACACGGAAAGCTTTGAGCTTTTTACCTCAGAAAGGATCTCCAACCACTATAGAACTCGGATTTACACTTGTTCTTCAACTTCTAGCTCCAACAATGGCTCCTTCTTTTCCTTGAAAATATAACTTCAAGCTCAAAACACACACACACACAAGCTAAAGCACGGATCTCAGCTCTCTAAGGACTCACTCAAGGGGATATGGTGGCTAGGGCAAAGGAATACATGTTCCTTTTATAGTGCAAAAGCCAGAAATTAGGGTTTGCATCTGGGCTCGCTACGTCCAACGAAACCCCTGGGTATGCCCAGCATACTCGGGCGAGTCCGCGTTCAATTTAAGTGTGTGAGTACGCGCGGCGTATACCTCAGTACGCCCAACATACTCACCAATCCACCATACAACTTTAAGGGACTAATTTGTCAACTTTCTCAAAATAGAAGGGCCATAAAGCTTACCTGGATTTTCGGGCTGTTATAGTAACTTTTATCAAAACATGGTCCCACAAAAACAAAAAGGTTTATGTTTGTTTCAAAAGACATCATATGAGAGAAACTAGGTCTAACTTCGGTGTTGCAACTAATACAAAACAAAACCATAGTAAAATAATAAATATATATGACAGAAAGATGTCTAACTTTGGTGTTACAACTAATACAAAACAAAATCGAGAGATGGTTCATCCATTTCAAAATTGGTAAGGTCGAATTCATCTCAAGGGTTGTCTTCTTGCTCACACTCACAATACAAGCCTAAATCGAAAGGTATTCGTGTTCCAAAGGTAAGTGAAAAATGTCCCTTTCGGTCTGACAAGAAAGTACCCGAGCCTAATTACCAATGGGTTCTAAAAGGTCACATTTCAAAATCGTTCAAAAGTCCTGTAACTTCTTTATGTTCTTTTTCGGATAAATAGGATATGTCATGAGAAAGAGTATCTTGTGTAGATAGCAATGGTAAATTCAGTTTCAAAATGGACTGGGTTCCAAAAACTAACTAATCCGGCACTCTGTGTCGGAGCAACTATGGAGGAATATCATCAGACTTCGGTATGTTGATAGTCACTGTTCCAGGCACATGACTGGAAACATCTCTCAACTGCACGATATTCAGAACTTAAATGGAGGGTATGTATCCTTTACGGGAAGGAATAAAGAAAAGATCACAAATGGGGACCATATTTAATAGTTTGTTGAATTTTGAATATGTTAATTTCATTCCGGAATTGAAACATAGATGAGGCTGAATACGTTGTTGTCTCTGCGTTCTGTTCTCAGGTCATCTGGATGCAACTTCAATTGATGAATTACAGTTTGAAATTTCTCGATACTCCTGAGTTTTTTTTCCCTAAAATTTACTCTTTTCGAAGATTAATTTTTTTTATTTTGTTTGTTTAAATTTGCGCATTTATTTTATTTAATTTCTTCCCTATGCACAAATTTAGGGGGAGAAATCAAAATACAAAAAATTATAAAATCAAAATACAAAAAATTATAAAATCAAAAGTACAAATTTTTTTATACAAAATAAAAAAAATTCCAAAAATCTATCTTCTTTGGTAAGTATTCTTGGGAAGTGATATGAAGTTTAGTGTTAAAGGGCAATCTGAAATACGTGTAATGCACTAAAAGAGAATTGTTTTGATTATATGTTCAATGTGCTAGTAGGCACGAAGGATTCAAAATGAAGGGACTAGACACTGTTAACAATGAAAGGACTTAACATTGTTAACTCATATGGACTTAGATAGTTACATTTGAATTGACCATACGACGCTTGGATTGATTGAGCAGTGAGACAAACAAGGGCGCCTGCGAGATACATTAAAGTTACTTATCATCTAGAACTGTGGCTCAACACTTCAATGACGTACGAAATTATGTCCTTAATTCTGGTGTTGATAGGTTGACTGGGGAGTTTTGATAAGGTAGGTCTCTGTGATTTTTTCTTTCTTTCTTATCCTCTATGTCAGTCATATGTTGCCCCCTTTCCGTGATTGGAAGAGATCCGACCTGGGATGAAACATATGCATCTCTATTTCTTTGCATCACTATGATGTCCCCTCTGCGTGATTGGAACAGATCTGACCTAGTACACAACATATGCATCTAAGTTAAGCATAATATTATCCTTTCGATTTCAAAATCAGCTTATATTAAGAAACAATATTCACGATTTAAAATAGGTAATATATATATATATATATATATATATATATATATATATATATATATATATATATATGTGTGTGTGTGTGTGTGTGTGTGTGTTTGTGTGTGGAAAAGTTCAATAGAGAACCATAATTATTGGTTCTCCAAGAAACCAAATTTTGTTTTCAAGTTCTAGAGCTTATTCTTTATCGAAAATAATAACTAAAAATATCTAAACTCATAACTTAACATTGTGAATGTTAAATATATTTTTCGGATTCACCGTGTGAATTTAGATTCACATTGTGAATTTGACGAAAAAAATAAATTTTTTTTATCGAATTTGATATCATTGGAAAGAGGATAAAAAGTTATGAATTTATGTATTTTTAGTTTTTTTTTTTGATAAAAAATATGTTCTATATTGAACCTCACCCTCTCTCTCTCTCTCTCTCTCTATATATATATATATATATATATATATATATATATATATATATATATATATATATAGTTAGTTAGTTAGGTTATTTTGTTTTTAGTAACTATTGTATGCCAGAATGCACAGATCTGGACCATTGGATGGAATATAATCAAAGGTCATGATCTGAGGATCTATGATAGTAAAATAGGATAATATGTACCATATAAGCACACAAATTTGAGCATAAGGGCATTTTAGTCAATTAGCCTATATTAAAAAAGGAAATTTTCGGATTTTTAAGGATAATTAATTCCTTTATTTTTAAAAATCTGAATATTTTAAATTAAGTTAAATTTAAAAATCCGATTTTATTCTGTCAGAATGATAACTTTTTTACCATAAACTAGTAAATATCTTTTTGATAGAATGATGCTCTTTCAGAATTTTATTCTAATAGAATATTTATTGAAGAAAAACAAAATTCTTGAACCAGATGTTGAAAAATAACAGACATTCTAATATTTTCTTATACATCCGAACTTAAAAACAAATTCATACATATTCTTACATACTAAAATCCTTATACATTTTAATATAATTATACATATTCTAAAAGAATATCAACAAAATGATTAAAATTCTTAAAAAATAACAACATTCTTAAATTGTGAGTATGATCAAACTTTGTTCATTCTTCAAGTTATTCCTATTAGGTCTTCAACACCTTCTTCCAGCCATTCCTATCACGAATACAACAAAAACCAATAATTGTTAAAAACATGTTATTTGCAATTAACTATCACTTAATACATTCTAGTAGAATACATAGAATATGACAGAATACATATAATACATTCTGGCAGAATACATCGATTTTATTCTAGTAGAATACATTCTGATAGAATACATAGAATACATTCAAAAGTAATGTATTTACTACTAATATAATTTTAGATTTCAAATATACAATAACGCGGGAAAATAGAAATTGGAATTAAAAATCACAAATTGAACCAAAATAATACACAGACAAATTAGTTATCTTTTTAAACAATTACGTAAAACATATGTTGCTAGTAATTCTGACAGAATGCATACCACAAGGTTAAATTATTTAAATTCTCTTTCAGGCATTTCAACAAACACTTGTTAGGCATTATCATCAAACAAGGCAAAAACCATATTTGATTTACTTGCAATAGCTTACCTATAAACATAATTTCTAGCAACATATTTTATTTATAGAAATAAGGCAACAACCAAAAACATAGTTTTGACCCATTTGTTATTATAGATGTAGAGACTGTTTTTACATTCCAATTTTGGCTTGTACGTATTTCATCATAGTAAAGACAATTCTTGTTCATCTCAAATTTCTTGTTTTTTGTTTCACTAACACAATCACACATGAATATAGCACAAAAATAGTTGTTATCATTATCTAAAAAAACTAACAGTTGAAGTTAATAATTATATCCAATATATATATATATATATATATATATATATATATATATATATATATATATATATAATAAGAGCAAGACCGGCCAGATTCTGTTAAGTTTTATTTAAAGCTTACAGGAAGGTCAGAGAACATTGCTACAAGAGCCTCAGAGAGCCCTGTATCTATTTGTTGTGTAGCCATGCCTGTAGGTAAAAGAAAAATAACTCATTTTTTACACAATCTTTATCTTTTTATGACCCTAAAAAAACATATATAGCTTTCAAGAAAATACCTGTGATCAGATTAAGCATATAATGCAGGCTGGCACCCAGTTCCTTTGGCATGGATTCTGACAAGGGTATCAATGGACAAAACTGTGACCATTGAAACATGTAGCTGCAAAGGAGACAGACACTGTTAACCGCATATGTTAATGGTGGAAAAAAGAAAATTTTGATCAGTTGAAACACACACGCACCTAAGTTAGCCAAAACTAAGAGAATATCAATATCAGGATTGCGTGCAGAGGAGACGGCGACAGTTGAAACCCCATTAACTTTACGCTGGAAAACTTGCCACAAGAATCACAAGACTTAAGCTTTCTAATTGATATGGAATTTACTTACTAAAATAACATAGAAATCATACTGTTTGTAACATTTGTTCAAAGTGGTTAAAGGATTCTCGTATGAAAACCCCCAAAAAGGATTTCAAATCCAAGTTGAAAATCAATGATTTTGGCCTCAAGAATCAAAAGGCATAGCTTTCTAAGTTTAGTTAAATTACGAGTAATAAAAGATTCGTAATTCAGATTACTTACCATGCTAAGAGCAATGGGAACTACTTTTGAACCAGGGCGCATTCTAGGATCCATGGATTTCATTTGTCCAAGGAGTGTCTCAGCATCTTCTTCCTTGAAACAGAATAACCCTAGAGACTTCACTGGATTTTGACCCGAAACCACAACAAATTCCTCCGAAGAGTTGCTGAGAGCGTAAACGGGCACGCCCGATAAACCGCTGTTCGATATCCTGATCCGACATGCCAGCACTACCACCGAAAAAAGTCTTATCGGCGGCAATTCAAGCCCATAAAGTATTCCGTGCAGAGGAGACGGCGACGGAGGAGAAGTTGGTAGCGATCCGTAGGGTTGTAGACGATTATTTTTAGAGAAAAGGGGGAATCGTTGGTCTCTTTTAAGGGATTTGATCCATAAATCAAGGGATTTAATTTTGGTTATTATTTACTTTATATGCAAAATTACATATCTAGCCTTATCTTGATTATTTAAGTATTTATTTTTTCCTGAATTCCTATTGGTGTATTTATGCACACAATAGTTGTCAAAAACATTTGAACCTCTCTCTCTCTCTCTCTCTCTCTCTCTCTCTCTATATATATATATATATATATATATATATATATATATATATATATATATATATATATAATGTTTTATGTGTATATGCTACAAGATTTTTTATTAAAATAACAAATTTACTAAATTGACTAATTGAAGAATCTAAATATATAAATATAATAAATTCAAACGATTTTTTAGTAATCTAAGTCTAAAATTAGCATTTGATATGATAGTAAGTAATAATCGTAATATGAATTGATTGACATTGTATTTCAAAATCAAGCATTAATATTAATATTAATTACGTTTTCATTTTTTAATTTGACTAACGAAATCTATTCTTGTTCAATATTTTTTAATATAACATTTATTTTTTTTTTTAATAAAACTTTATTGTAATTTTCTGTTGTGATTTGTTATATTTTTTCATATATGTTTATTTGAACAACTTAACTAACTAATTACATAACAATTTTAATTTACTTCATTTACTGTGGTTGTTTATTTTTATAATATATTTATTATTTTATTATATATTATTGTTATTTTTCTTCATTACTCTAATAATAATTATTGTTTGATATATATCTTCAAAATATATTTCACATTTTCATTTAAAACAACGATTATAATTTTATATAAACACAAAAATATATATCTTAAGTAATAATTATTACAATAACTGATTAGTTGTAGCACCTGGTTTCCGGTATGTGAATTTTATTTGAGCATTTCCCTATTTTAGCCTTGGACTCGGCGAGTCATAAGGTCCGACTCGCCGAGTAGGGACGAGACTCAGGACACGTTTAAGTTGGCGACTCGGCGAGTCCATATCCCGGACTCGGCGAGTCACCGCTGCTGGATGAAACCCTAAATTTCAAGGGTTTGCACCCTATTTAAACCCTCATTCCGCCCCAAACTCGTCCCCATTCACCCCCAGAACTCCCAACATCGTTTATTCCCTTATTTCCTTGAGAGATTGAAGTGTTTTTGGAGTGTTCTTGAAGATTTTGAGGAGAAAGAAGAGTAGATCAAGAAGAGGAGAAGGAGACCAGGCATCTTTGTGTCATCTCAACGTTTTCCTTGAGGTATAGCTCGTTTCCCCTCTGTTTTCAAGCTTGTAATCTCTTTTAGCTTCATAGGAGTCCTTCTTGGGCTCTTCCCCAAGCTTGTTTGTGCTTTGTGGGTTGTAATAAGTTGTTAGCCTTTAGATCTAGGCATGATTTAGTCCCTGGAGCTTGGATCTAATGCCTTTATGGGGTCATATTGCATGAAAGCCCTAGATCTACCTCTTTTGGTGCACTTTGAGCCTTAAAATCCATATTGGTGAATATCTACATGTAAAGTTGGAAACTTTACGTGTGATTTGTGTCCTAGAAGCCCAGATCTGTGAATGGCATGGACTGGAATCGAGCAAATCGGTGTATTTGATGGATGCATGGCTGCGACTCGGCGAGTCGTAAATGTGACTCGACGAGTCTGGTTGCGAGTCACTGAATTGGTCCCTTCATGATGTGTCGAGTTGAGCCGTGAGTCACAGGGGGTGACTCGGTGAGTTGGGAGCTGAACTCACCCGTGTTAGGACTCGGCGAGTCAATGCCCTGACTTGGCGAGTCCAAGGCAATCTTCATAGATCAAGAACAGACTCGGCGAGTTGTTCACACAACTCGGCGAGTCTTAGCATATGTGTTCTTCGGATGAAGATGAACTCGACGAGTTGTTCATACAACTCGGCGAGTAGGATGAAGGAGTTGAATGTCAGTTTAGAAGATGAACTCGTCGAGTCATAGCCCAACTCGACGAGTAGAATCAGGGACCCAGGACAATAGTCTGGACAGGGACTCGGCGAGTGGAGATCCACTCGGCGAGTCGGGTCAACTAAAAGTTGACTTCGAATTGACTTAGGGCTAGACCAGGGGTAAAATGGTCTTTTTACCCAAAGGACAGTTAGCAGTGTATGATTAAGTATATTGTGGGAATTACAGCCGGGGAGTTTCCGGAGCAGCAGCAGCAGTAGTAGGTGATCAATTCCCACACAGACCAGCAGCTATTTCGAGGTGAGTTTCCTTCCAGTAGTAACGGGTCTAAGGCACCAAGGCCGGCCCGTATAGACGAGACGTTAGTATTAGAGTGTGGGCCGAGCCCGTATCTCTTAGTTGAGTTGATTATGATATATGCCAGTATGATAGAATTGTTTACACTTGTTGTCTGTGCGATACTTGTATGATATGAGTTGGCGGTTGAGTGTGGGCGAGGCCCGTATCTCTCCGAGAATGGAGTGTGGGCTAGGCCCGTATCTCCCAGATAGCGAAGTGTGGGCGGGGCCCGTATCTTCACGAGTGTGGGCGGGGCCCGTATCTCTCAGAAAGCGAAGTGTGGGCGGGGCCCGTATCTTCACGAGTGTGGGCGTGGCCCGTATCTCCTAATTGCATGTTGTTTGTTAAATGCTTGCATGGTATGGGGTATTATGGGGGAGCTCACTAAGCTTTGTGCTTACGGTTTCAGTTTTGGTTTCAGGTACCTCCTCAGCTAGGGGAAAGGAGCCGGCGCGGTAGCAGCATGTCACACACACACTCTTCGGTTTCCGCATTTACGAGCTTTCTGGGATTGATACTCTGATATTCCGATTAGTTGTATGTTTTGGTTTTCAGACATGGTTCAGTTTATATTATGGATGATCGAATGATGTTTTAGTTATTAATATTTTCTAAAGTAACGTTTTTAAACAAAAAAAAAATTTGATGTGAAAATTGGGTCGTTACAAGTTGGTATCAGAGCCCTGGTTTGAGGGATTCGGACACGCCTTCGGGAGTGTCTGAACTCAAATCGAGGGATTGAAAGATTTTCTAAAAGAAAATGTTCTCTAAAACTTAGAAAAGAGTCATAAGAAAGAGCGAAGTGTGTGACGTGCGCGACCGGCCGAGCTCAAGTAAGTATTCCCCATAGTACCCATACAAGTTTATGTTATGTTTATCAGCTTTCGTAGAACCGCATGCTAGAATAGGACTAAGGATCTAGGAGTGATGCCTTATGTGCCTACTATTTGTGTTTCAGTTGTATGAGAAATTGCATGCTAGTTACGGAGTAGACAGTAAGTAGGATAGCCTGAATAGGTTATGCCTGGTAGTATGAGCTTAGCACTATATGCTAGCTCAGTTCCTGAAAGTGGATAGAGTTAATTGAGACTGTTACCCTTGTCTGAATGTTGCTTGCTTCGTGCTTCGTGGGACTCTGAATAATGGGAGTTAGCCATTAGTCGAATGCGTCACATCACATGTAATCAGGATTGGATAATCTTAGAGTGCCGAATTTGATCCTACTGCGTAGCTCTTGTTTGAGTCCAACCGTTGTAGGGACGAGTCCGGTACTCGAAGGATTATCTGAGCCTCGTCACGTGTGATGGCATTCGAGTAATGGCCAATTGGCATTATAATGAGGCCTGCAGCAGCTGAGGACTGGTTAGAGTAGAATTAGAGATCTCCCTAGGGCAAGCCTAGGATGAGTATAGCTTTGATCAGCAGTAGTGAAGGGGATCTGGTGAGTCGAGGAATTCCTTGGAGAAGGTACGGATAGATGTGGAAGGTAGTATGGGCCCGTACTACTGAAAGCAGAGGATCCGTACCCGAACCAAGGAAGGCCAAGATGAGACCAGGGAACCTGTAAGTAGTTGAGATCCCTCAGAAAGTAGCAGTATCACTAATGATTATTATGATGTTTTGCAGAATGGTGGTACTTCGACCGAGACCGACAGATGGCGGTTCAGGAGGGGTCAGGTTCGGGATCAGGCTCCGAGCCGATTGATGAGAGGCTACGTGAGTTCATCACGTCGGAGATCACCAGGGGCATCCTTGAGTCGACCCCCATTCTCTTTGGGTCGATCAAGGAAGGGATCATGGAGTTGATGGAGGATCGCCTACGGGCATTCAGGAGCGATTTAGCCTCTAGCCAGTCAGGATCTCGCACACTGTCCTTCAAGGACTTCAGGGCAGTGGTGCGCCGGATTTCCATGGGGTGAAGGACCCCATTGTCGCCAGGCGATGGATTGCAGATATCGAGTCTGCCCAGTTGACTAGCTTCTGCCCCGAGGGGTCGAAGGTGAGGTACGCAGCAGGGTGTTTACGAGACCGAGCCCGGGATTGGTGGGAGTCAGTGGGTGACTCGTTGGGAGCCTCAGCTATCGAGGCAATGACCTGGTCGGACTTTGTGACCAGGTTCAGGGCAGAGTTTGCACCGGCGGTCGAGCTTCAGCAGCTGGCCAGGGAGTTTCTAGACATGAGGCAGACGACGGAGACTGTGGCGGAGATCACCGCCAAGTTCCGGGAGAGGGCTTTATTGGTGCCCCAGTATGCCGGTGACGAGGACATGAGGAGGACTCGTTACCATGATATGCTACGAGCTGACATCCGGGAGCATGTTAGCTTTTCGGCTTGCCCTACCCTGGACTCTATGATTGCCAGGGCTAGGGAGAGGGAGATAGATTTGGAGCACATCCGGAAACGGAAACTAGAGGACGGTCAGGCAGGAGGGGCTTCGGGGAAGAAGCCCAAGGGATCAGACGGTAGGCCGAAAGGTCATTCAGGATCGAGCCGCTGCGGGAAATGCGGCAGGACGCACGTGGGGGTATGTAGGATGGGATCAGGAGGCTGCTACAAGTGCGGCAAGACAGGGCACTTTAGCAGGGATTGTACTGCTCCAGTTTCAGCTATTCAGACATCCGAGTTGCTGTGTTTTCACTGCAACCAGAGGGGCCACAAGAAGGCCAATTGCCCCCAGTTGACAGTTGCAGCGCCAGTGAAGGCGCCAGCTCCAGCGACCCTGCGGATCACGGATGGTCGGCAGGGCAAGGCAGAGGCTCCAGTGGTGAGGAGTCGGGCATTTCAGTTGACTGCCGAGGAGGCACGCGCCGCACCCGATGTGGTGACGGGTATGATTCTTCCCCTTTATTTTTTTATGATGATGTTATGTTATTGATATGTGCTCTATATGTATATGTATGCCTTAGGATCGTTCCATGTGAACGGCCTCCCAGTTCAAGTGTTATTTGATTCAGGAGCATCCCGATCATTCGTTTCCCTTGCACTTAGCAAGAAGTTTCATGAGCCATCGGGCGAGTTAGATTGCCCTTTGGAAGTGGAGATCGCTGACGATCGATCGTGCGAGCATCGATGATATTCCGAGATTGTGTGCTGCGTTTGTTCGAGGAGCGCTATTTGGTAGATTTGGTTCCCATTCCGTTGCGTGGGAACAAGGTGATTATAGCATGGATTGGCTGAGCCCTAATGGGGCGGTGATAGATTGCGCGCAGCAGCTAGT